ATTGGCTAAAAAGAGGACTATAGTTCATCTGAATAGTGTAAGAAAACCCACCAGTCAGTAATGAAATGCACATTTAAACATGTTTATTATACTTTGAAGTATACCTATCATTTGATTACTTATTAGGCTTTTATGTATTTACTCCGTTTGGCAAGTGATTTGTGTAACGAATAGACAATTGTTGATCGCTTTTTGACCCTTGACCTTGCGCTTGGCATTGTGCCCGCTCTTTTGTTGACTAGCTTGACTCATGGGCTTGACTGCAGACATATGATGCTAATATAAAGTTGCAGAATGGCTTGCTCTAAGAAATGCAAAGTGGATAGCGAAAATCACCAGTTCAAGTCTGAATGGATAGAGGAGTTTTGTTTTATTGTGCCCAAGCACAGTATTAAGCCTACGTGTTTGATTTGTTTGCAGACTGTTACACTGTGCAAAAGGAAAATCTTAAGGAACTGTTCATGCTGCTAGTTTTAATGCCAGTTACAAAGAAAAAATCTGAGAAATGCAAACAATACATATCAAATATGATAACATCATACAGTCAGTGTATACTATCCTCACGCTCTCCTCGAGGTCACATTGACCCGAAGAAAACACATTTTTTCCCACTCTCTTGAGGCAGGTCAATCAGACCCAAAAATTTATTTTCTCACCTGGCAAGAATTTATTTGAAAATTAATTTTTGGATCTGATTGACCTTACCCAAGAGAGTGGGAAGGAAATTTTTTTTTTCTTCGGGTCAATATGAACCCGAGGAGAGCGTGAGGGATACCCTTAGTAAATCGACATCTGCTCTAGACAAGGCCACTGCTGCTTCGCTGATTGTGTCCTGGAACCTTGGGAAAGCAGGGAATCTTTACCGATGCTGAAATAGTAAATCAATGTGCTGTTGATATGGCTAAGGAGGTGTTGAGTTTTGATGGTAAAATTTGGAAAACTGTTGTAGAACTTTAACAGCAGGTAGGCAGGGTATTTTATATATAGCACGTAATTCTGCAAAGTGATGTTTTTCATTGGTTATGTTTACAGTGTAGTTGTGCTGTGGTATTGTTTGAATCTGCTTTACACAATTTAAGATTTTCCAACAAATACAGTAGTAACTGAAAAGAAACATTGTATGTTTTTGATCAGTTGTTGATTTTACTGTTGTTTTTTGGCAAACAAAACATTGTCTATGTGGGCATATTTTTTTGTGAACCCCAGTTCTACCCTCAGGGAAATTTTATTGGAGATCCCTGTTATATATAATAGAAAGCTGTCTGCGTAATCCCTCAGCTGCCCAGGTAGAATAAATAAATAAATACAAATTTTGATTTATATATATATATATATATATATATATATATATATATATATATATATATATATATATATATATATATATATATATATATATATATATATATATATATATATATATATATATACCAGTTGATCTGCTGGTTGAGGTCGCTGATACATGATACTCATGCCCAGAATCTGTTGGCTCTATGGAAGAGTACATTTACCTTGAAAACAGCGCCATCACCCTTTCATACGTTGCATTACAGCATGACCTTATGTATTACGTAATGTCCTGGGATTTGTCTGTCTGAGCAGATGGACTGTGCCATAACTCTCACATGGGCGTCGTGTGCCCTGACATACACTGAAGTATTTAGGTGCCTTCACACTGTTGTATTTGAATATAATGAGATCATTTGTCACTGGATTTAATGTAGACTAAAATGCTAATAATGTTTTAATGCTACCTGTCAGTCTAGCCTTCTCAGAATATATGACTAAAGTGACAGAAATTGGACATAGAGTCACACTAATGAATGCATTGTAATTCAGGAGCCTTTAACGTTTGCCAGAAACCCTAATGGGGCTGGGCATTGTGACAGCAGAAATCATATTAATATGTCCAATGCTTTTACAGACATGAACCAATGTGTTGGTCTGGAGTCAAGACTAATTCTGATACAAAAGATTACTTAAGTAAAACTATTATTACAGACAAAGAGCTATTAGTGATAGTTTACTGTAGTAGAACGCAGGCTTGCAGAAAGCACTGCTATGGGCTCTGAATCTGAGTATACGGCAGGGTCATATGGGATCACTAAGACTGGATTGGAGACCTCCCCTCACCAACACACACACACACACACACGCACACACATGCACACACACATACAAGGTAGCTGACCAATGGACATCGGGCTCAGTGGATCAGACTCTTGCCAATACATGACTAATCCCTATCTGAGCATGCTCACTGACATAACTGGGGCAGGGACATGACAAAGCACGACAAAGCACTATGTTTCACTCTCTTAAAGGGTGCTAGAAATTATTTCAAGGTCATTCCACTCCAATTGTACAATCACTTTTACTGTCCTCTAAATATCTGACAGTCATGGACATTTGTAGGTTACTATAGTTACAACAACCCCTGTCAGAATAGGTCTCTAGTATTAATACTAGCATATGTTAATTTTTCAGTGATACTAGTGGTTGTGCACAGTGGTTATGAGAGCAGGACTTAAGACCTCACATCCCCGAGAGGTAATAGACATGAATGGAGATGATTTATTGGTGCTCCTGAAATGCACCATATGCCAGACATGAAACACACACTCACAGTTCAGGGAAGGGTCACATTCAGTCCAAATCCACCTGAGCTACAAAAACATCTGTGTACAGTGTTTTCTTTGTCAACTGAGCAATCATTGACTCCAGTACAGGACTATATGCCAGAGTTGCATACACTAACTACAATAACATAAATTTTAAAGTGAGGCATAGCATCTTTGTCACCAGATACAATTTTAATTACAAATCTTGCATGGTCAAGTTGATTATGTTATTAATGTTGTAATTATTTTGTCATTATGCCAGTTCCTATGACTAAAACCAGTTGGATATTTGTCCAAAAATGTCTCATCTAACAAACCTCAACAGCCAAACATTCAATAATGCTAAAACAGCATCTCCCCATTTGTGAGCAAATCACGGAGGATCAATATGCCAGATTCAGTTGTGCTTGTACTTTTTTTAAGAGTGCGAGCTACATACCCTACCTTTAAATCGACCTGTTTGAGTTACTAGTTGAAAGTAAAAAATAATGTAAGACTGCCTTTCCGTACAGCACCCGTTTAAAGCTTACAAAGGACTGTGGCCTTGTTTATGCATGTTAAAGCTTCTGTCAGCTCTCCGTAAATCACAGCTAATCAGTGAATTCTTTGAGTTCCCTACTGATGTCAGCCAAACAACAAAAGTGCTGAGCTGTTTAACAAACACTCTTAATGGATTTCCTTTTTCTGAAAAGGAAGAAAGTGACGACATTGCAAGCCACGCCCGAAACTCCCTACATGCCCTGATCTCTAAAGTGCTTTTATGCAAACTTTCGCTGCGTACCAAGATGGAAGGTTTAAATTTAGCATGAGGCCAGGCAAGGTTCGAGCACCACTTTACAGTAAAGTCAGTCAGTCAGAACAAATAAAGTCTGAATTTCCATATTTGTCATCTATACTCTGAAGACAACCCATATCTGACATTAACATCCTACCCAAACAACCACTGACCATCGAAGGACGTTCACCAAGTCCATACATGAATTATGAATGGTGTATACATAGGCACAGGATACACTACTTCTATGGGCGACTACCCTCTTCAGCTTTGTCATAATTCTTGTCTAGTTCTACAGCTACTCTACTGTGCTTCTCTGTACCTTCAAGTGGGGCTCCGTGTATCCTTGGTTGACCTTGAGTATGACCCTCCGTGTTATCAACTGCAACGTGCTGTCTTTCATGTTGGAATCCACTCTCCATTTCATCTTCGACTACAGTGCCCAGTAGATGAGATAAAGGTAAAAATTAACATGAACACCATGAGTAGGAGTTCGGCCCACTCGTCAGAAACAAGTTGGCATGCAGAGAGGAACAAAATAATACACACTAATAATGATAATTGGACTGCAGAAACATCCAAGTAGAAGGCTGTTAAAATAGTTGTATTCTTGACAGATTAATAATGTGGTGGTAACTACAAAAAATTGTAGTTAACCACACCACCAGAGTCTACAAAGAAATTTATACTCGAGTAGGCACTGACAGCCAAATATTGTTTTTGTCATCGTGGGCAAGAATGTATGCATGCTATGCTATTAAAAAAAAATCCGCTGTAGTTTTAATGATGGTTCTATTGCGTTCATTGTCCTATCCAAGGTTTTGGAATGTTGAAAACTTCAGAGCGTTGCCATTGTGATTGACAGTTTAAAACAAATGATTTTTATCTATTGAATGTGGAACAGGAGTCAAAATGTTGCATGTAATAGGAAAAACAAACATAATGGCTTTAAGTATTGGTTGGTGGTCTGAATGTTGTGGATAATGAATATGCTACCCTTATACTAGCATCTTCCACAATTGTCTTTAATTTGAAAAGCTGACTTGTGCACTGCGGCCCAATTGTTGAGTCTAGCCAAGCATCAGCCTTTTATTGCTGGACCATGTGGAGAAGAGCCCAGAGCTGTCAGGGTTGATGCTGCCACTTTGCCGATCGTTTCTGTCTAACAGCTACGCGCCCGGGAGCGTCTCCACCGAGAGAATCCCCTAATCAAATTCCCTTTTATTCCGAGCCTCCCTCTGCTCCTCATCCGGAATCACACTGCATTACAACACACTAACACATCCCTCACTCCTCTCTGCTTTGTGTTGCCCAAACGCCTCGTCCACTCCACACTCTCCATTCATTTTCCCATGTCGTGTCTCTAAATAGGAGCAACTGTGGAAGAATTCCTCCTGTGCAGGTTAGTGTGATGTGATATGATGAACGGACGCAACAACAGCGAGACCTATTAATATTGAAGCATGCGTATGCCAGAGCTGCAGCAGCGTAAGAAATAAACAAAACAAAAGAAGTGGGCTACAAACACAATGGAGGGAGATAAGTGTTGAAGATAAAGCAAAGAACAGGTATAAGAGATGAGTTGGTTGCTTTCAGTGACTTACTTGAACCGGAGGGAGAGCCCGCAATTGCACCTAAAAAGAGAAAGAGAAACAGACGCACAGATGAGAGCGTGTTTATTTATGCATTCAATTTGCCTAAAGACTTGACTCAAACTCGTTTGTCAGACTCAGGTGGCAGAGAAAGCTTAGGAGCTATTTGAGAGAAATAAAAGGGGGTTTGTGGATAACCTTTCATACAAGAGTAATGAGACCCCTCCCTATTTTTGACCTTTAAACATTAAAAGGTGGTCATCACATGTAGGTTTTTTTCTATAACATATTTATGGGGCTAGACTTTGAAGTAGATTGTGAAAAAGACATGAGATATCAGTTCCATTGGATCTTGCTTAGTACAGTAACAAGTAGACATTTTTTGAAGTGTGAGGAAAACTGCAGCTACCTTTAGAAACTATCGCTAATGACCGTGGAAGCGTTCTTGTTGATGCAGCCGAGGTGGACTTTTTTCTTTTTTTATGACTGAAAGGAGGGGGTGGGAGGGGTTGCCCTAGATTATTATTTTATCAGAGGTAGCTACTGTAGCTGACTATACTTGGTGAGAGGATTTCCCCCACACACTCCCATCATCACAGTGAGATGCTTTGCTTTCATGCTTTTGAGCTGGTGACAACCCGCTAAGCACTGGTTTTACTACACCACCCTAGTCCCATCACCACTCCTAGTCTAAAACTGCTCAAAACCACTGCGCATATGATAGAAAACAGTATTTATGTTCTGATCAACTAAATATGATAAACATAATTAGAGGCTTAACTTAACATGAACATCTGTTATTATAAGGGATCTAATTGCAGCTAATGAGACGGAGCAGAGCAGCACTTCTCATAAACAGCTTTTAACACGATGGCACTTGGCACAAGATGCTCTCTATCCTTTCACCCTTGTGCAGTGCTTAAGTGGATGCATAGAAATAGTCACTGCATTTGTAACAAGCCAAATTAGATTGTAAGCAGATTGCACAGCTGCTGATCACTCTGGAAACATACTTAGCCCTCTACAAATATCGAGATCTCTTTATAATGGCTAAAGCTAAAAATGAAAGAAAGAATGAACAAATGAAAGATGGAAACATCCTTCTAGACATGGGAAACATTGATGTCAAAGTGATTATTATGTTTGGTGAAGGACACAGTGACAGTTTGAACTTGAGACACTGTTTCTCTTATTTGGCCCCTGTTATAGCACACAATAGACAATGTTACGTACATGTGTTGGGAGTTCCATTAGGCGTTGGCAGGTAGGAACCAGCCTTCCATGACTTGGCCTTGAAGCCCTTCTTGCAGCGCTGACAGTCCTGGCCTGTGGTGTTGTGTTCACACTGGCACTGGAGGTTCCCATCCACCAGCAGGCACTGAGAGGCATGGAGGTTACACTTACACCTGTAGAAGAGCACAATCAGACAGCTCAGGTGAGACAGAGGAGTGATGGTCCAGATGGCAGCATGTGCAGTTAGTCAGTGGGGGAACGTTAGCACAGATGAGTGCAGAGAGGCTCATTCGACTGATGTTTGGCCTCAAATGCAGTAACTATAAAAGATTAAAAGCCTTATATTTGGTTGTTTCAAATGTGTTTCAGCAAAATTTGTCTTCCCTTCCCTTTGTTTATTGTATTAGCACCTCATGAGGTCAAAATAGGTTTGCTCTGTGCTATCTGCATCTAATAAAAAAAAACTTTTTATAGTCTGATCATCAGGAAGCAACTCCACACAGGTCTCTGAGACTTATGAAAAGAGCTTTGACACTCATTGCAGTGACTAATTAGGATTAGGATATTGGGGGTGCATAATGTAAGTGGGGAATAACTTTGGGTCACTGCAAACTTTTTAACTAGTTAAAATATGTCAAATGTGTGGTTTTCATATTTTAAGACAGTAAAATTCTGGCTAATAGAGTGTATGATTTTGGGTAAAAAAAGCATTTAGACCTGCAGTAGGTGTTGAAAAACAGGGACTCCAGAGTGCACTATGTAACATTTACATGTAACATTTGAGACAACACTAAAATATGAATTGATAAACTAATACAATAATAATCTTAATCTTATGCATTTCAGTACATTTTGTAGAAGTCTAAAGTACAGGTTAAAAATGTATATATAAAAAGACAGGATATTTTGTTCCTAGTAGAGGACATTCTATTATCTAAATAATTGCAGCTTTCGCAATTTGATAATTGTGCCAACTCAAATTGGGATTTAGATTAAATGGCACTCTTTTATATTCTTTGCTTATTTTGGCATAACCACAATTATTATTATTATTTTTTTATTTCTTGATGCACTGATTTGTTTGTGAGGCTGAAAACTACATACTTGAAATAATTGTTTTTTTTAAAGCACTCTTTTCTTATACTTATTAACACATTTTTTGTGTATTTCTTAAATGTGAACTGTGTGTGTGTGTGAGTTTTCTGAAAGTCATAAAGCTTCTGAATTTTTAAATGCCAAGTAAATCATATATGTAAATATTTCAATAAGTTTAAGCTAAAGTAAAAACATTTGAAATGTAATTTGGAGGAGTGAAATCGCTCTTTTATCTGGCAGTATGAATTGATGTTTGGATGATTTTTGAATGTGTAAGTGTGTGTGGATGCAGATGTGACCTTGGCTGAGGGCAGAACCCAGGTGGGCTGATCCAGAGGCCACAGGTTTTTATTTAGACGGAAATGAGGATCTTAAGGACACTCGGTGGATACGACTTTAAATTACAGCCTTTTCCAGACGGCTGACTGGACTCCAATCCAGTTTGTTCCACTGGAGTGAACAGCTATCCGTCTGCATCAAATATTCAAAGAATGGCCCCTGTATTCTGGTGAGATGACGACTTCAATCTTCCTTCCTCACACTAATCTTGGCTTCCTCATCATTTTTTTTTTTCTTAAGCGCAGTGCTACTTTCATAACTTTATCAAACTTAGAAACATGCAGTTAGCCTCACTTAGAAAAATTGAGCCAGTCGATCATGACGACGTGGTTTGCGTCAAATGCTTGCCTGCTGCTCTATAAATTACCCACAATCCTCTCTGATCACCTGCATGAGGTGACAGGAGACGGCGGCAAGGATCCATTCAACGACAAGGCCTTGTTTCTGTATGCTTTTTGAAGGACACGAGCTGTCCACTTAGCAAAGGAAGGAAATTGAACATCTCTTTTTATGGTAGCAAATTGTGTGTGCAGGAAGAGTGAAAGTGTGCGGAGAGGACAGGTGTGTGTGAGTGTGCCTCTCCTTCTTGTGGTGCATTTATTCTTGAGCGTGGATGACAGACACCAGATCACACAAGCGGAGCCGTTGTGACTAATGCCCGCGCTGAGTGAGTGACAGCACTGGCTCTCATCTCGCGCGCCTCTCCGTGATAAATCTCATCTGTCTCATCATCAAGTGTGGAGGCTCTGCTGAGTGCACGATCTGGAAGTTGTAGTTTAAAATCAATACCTAAGAGCAGAGTGATTTTTAAGGTATACGCTGAGCTGCTTGTAGACCTAATGGCTGGGGCGAACAAGCGGAAATGGCCTAAGCCGCATGTCAGTTAAGGGGTCTGACTTTGCAGCCTGCATTAGAGGCTACTGGTTACCACTGACCGTAATAATCCTAAAAATTCTCAATTTTCAATTTCTTTCCTTTTTTCCGCACAAGGATAAGTTCTCTCTGTGTATACTATTGCATTTTTGATTACTTAAAAAAATCACCAAAATAAAAATGATGCTTTACCCTGTAATTTTTTTATTCCCTTATTCATTTAATCAATTATCATTTGATAAATACAACGGCAACAAAAGAAAAAACAAACCAAACAAACAAACAAAAAAAAATCAATTTTGTCCAGTCTTGCAGGTTAAAACTTTTATAATCTACAGTCTCCTTGACCTGCTTTCTGCCTGCTCAGGATAACTCAAAGTACTTCCCGGCTTCTTCCGCATGAGTGATGTGACATTCTCGACTTCTCAAGCGCTGCGTGTCTTTTGCCTCCTCTCTTTCGGATGACAGCTTGTACTGGGATTTCTCTCGATCCTCTCTACTGGGTCCCTCCGTGCACAAATAATACATGGGCACAATGGTATGTTAATGTGCAAGATGTCTACTCCACTGTAAAGTCATCAAAGTGGGAGTTGTGAGGAAAGTTAAGACGGGACAGCTGGATCCATCAGTATACTGTCTGTTTACTTGCACACCAAGACAAGCAAGTCTGGTATGCACAGAGAAAATAGAGGACTAGAGATGTATGCCTTCCTCATTGCTTTTAAAACAGAGCATGCAATGTGCTACTTTAATTACTTGTGTTAATTGTGTGTTTGGACTTGTTTTAATAAATATTTTAGTAGTGTCCTTCCAAGTCTATTGTTCACAAAGCATTCATGGCTAATTGCTTTCTATTGAGTGCTTACAATGCATCTCCAGAGCTGATCAAAGAAAGTTATTTTTATGTGAGGTGTGCCTTGGGGTTCCATCAACAAGCGTCTACTATTTATACCTTATGTAAGATTATGTTGTTTACGTTGCATCTTGTTGCATCTTTTGAGTCTATCTATTGATTTTCTTTAATAATAAAACTCTTCTTAGTGACATCTTGTTTGATCAAGATGTTTGGCTTTTCTGTACATAATCTTTGGATTTAAACAACAAAGAAATATAGACAAGAACAACAAGAACTATATCTGACCTTTGTAAGCTCTGGGTTTTACAAAAGCTAATCGACTTTAAGCTCATTGTCCAGGCTCCACTCATTAAAGCACTGGCCCTTTTGTGTAGTAAGTACACTCGTAGTATTACATCAGTTTTCATTTGACTGTTTACTTAATCTATGAGTTTTCAGTATAGGCTGACGTATATTAGTGTTTGTGAGATAATTATTTAGTACAGTCATGATTGGCAACTTTTCTGTTGAAGGGTCTGCCAGTAGTTTGTCTCCATGGAGATGTTGTATGATTGCCTACATGTCCCATTGGTTTTAAGCATATCTTATCTAGTCCAGACCAAGTTTACAGTTCAGAGACAACCCCGATTTTTAGCCAATGAAACATTCCTATTTGAATTAATGGAAGATAGATGTATACAAATGTACGATTTTGGAACTCTAGGCAAAACAATGCCTTCTTAATAGAGTCAAGCAGCTAGCAGACCCTCCATCAAAAAGTTAAATAGTGTACCATCAAAGATATGACAACTTGGTTATAAAAGACAATAAAGTGGGACATTTATGTTACTAGAACAGATTTTATCTCATTTTAGGCATATATTTTGATTTATTTAATGGTTCATCTAAAAAGTGATTTTTAAAATTCTTTCCTTTGAGTGAGCTAGCTGGTCTGTGTACATCACAGTGTGTCCATTCTTCTTAGTGTGTCTGCTTGTGTTTAGAGATAGGGGCTGCCTTGTTTCCGGCAGTACACACGCAGCAATTAGGAGTCTAAATAAAAAGAAAGATAAACAAACATCAAGGGGGAGTCATGTGGTGGCAGCGTCTGAAAAAGCAGCTGGAAGCAGCAGTTAATGGGGCTTTATCTGTCTCCTTACTGTAGACGCACATCCACATGTCTCTCCAGGGACACCACTATCATTCCCTCACTCTTCCTTTCAGCACTATGTCCTCCTCCCACTGGATCACATCTCAATTAAACTTCATAATACTATTGTCGATTCCGTGGTTTGCCTTTTTACAGATTTTATTTTTCAGATTTTCTGTGAACTCCCTCTTTCAGTTTAACCTGCAAACTCTTAGCAAGTCCCGTATTGTTACTAACTTTATGAAAATTAAATCAGTCAATCTAGATACATTCATTTTTATCAAGTAAATGCAAGTCAACATGCCTGCTGTGATGACACATGACAGTCTGTTTTCCAAACTAACTAAAAATGTGTATAGAATACGTATAATATTCCGCCCCTTTAAAAACAGCTGTTATATTATATTGGCCCATCGTGCACATTGTATCTTAAAGCTTAATATAGACTGATCATGAACACATTGAGGGTCGGTTTATAACTGTTATAAGGTTTTCTTCTTTGTCATTGTGGCCATTAATCATCAGATTTTTAAAACTTGTACAGGAAATGATCCTTGCTGCCTTAATTCTCTTGTCAGCATTGATTTGTCAGCTCCTCAGTAACTGTATCCCTCCGTAGTCTACCGGTATCGGCAGATCTGCATTTGCTCATATTACACAAACTAGGTAAAAGTCATCTCTGCTGGGCTGTGCATCAACAACAGAAAGCAAAAAAAATATTTAAATAACTCTTGATTTGCGTAGAGAGAAGACAAATTAGTCAAATTGTAAGGCTATTTAGGCTGCAGTTTAGAAATATTATCAGGGGATAATCTCAAAATAAATATATCAAGCATTATACCTCCGACTAGGAGCACTCAAGTGACCATGCAAGAGGGGGA